AAAAAAAAAAAAAAATACACTTATTTGTAAGATCGACGAAAAATGGTGTCGTTGGCATAAAAATCGGAATTTTCCAAACTTCCACTTGCTCCCAATTAAGAGATCTCTTAACTCACTGATGATGAATAACTAAATATAAACGATGTAAGAAAGCTAAGCGATTGCTTGCGAACACAGTAGAGAAGAACGTTGTACGGCACCCCACGAACGATCCTCCAGTGATGGGAAATCCGATTAACGACAATGTTACGGCGATCAGCGGTGGAAGGCGACGCGAGCAAACAGTGTCGGTGCCTCGACACTTGACCGTGGTGAATCCGCCAGTCGCCTAATCTGCCGTGTAACGGCGGCAGGTCCGTGAAGAGCCAGCCTCCCTTACGACCCCACCGTGTTCCAAATCCAATAACCACCGACAAGTGTGACACGACGCGCACACACACGCCTCGTCTTTCTTTCCCTCGATTTTCTCTCCCTGCGTCTCTTCTCTCCTCTCTTTCCCTCGGTGTCCCTGTGCCAGTTGGACGATCAAACGTTTCCTCGACGGGGCAGTCATCCTGCACGTGGCCACTCGAACAATGCGCCAGCCGCACCCCGCTGCTAATAGTCGGGCATTAAATTCGTCGGTGATATTGCCGGACCCTCCCCCTCTATAAGAGTCGGCTCTCAATGGGACGAGACGTCTGAAATATGCTTGCTCGTGTCGTCCAGGGGAAGGGGAATGGATGCACGCACCCGGGCCATACGATAGACAACGTTACGAGCGAGAGGAAGCTGACGGTGGATATCGAAGCGCAGGGGTGTGCTTTTCAGGGTTGGTTATTTGAAAGGTGAAGAGGAGGATGTTGAAGCTTGATTGTCGGTGTGCGATGAACGTTGTAATAACTTGAAATTTGCCGTGGATGTCTTTGGATGTGATTGATGATGGGGTGGTTATTGAAGGTGGTATTGTTCCATTGGCTGAGTGTTGAGGAATAAGTTAGGCGTAACAGAGGGTGAGTATACGGTTTTTAGAATGACGATTATTTTAATAGTCTGAGAATTTAAATTCTCAACGTTCAAAAGTGCTATCACCTTTTCGATTCAGGCCTGCTATCGTACTTTTTTTCACAGCTTGTGAAAATAGAGTTCCAACCCTCCAACTATATGTATTTTAGGATTTAAACTATATTTTATATACTTTAGGGTTTCTAGTATGAAATGAAATTGCAAACGTAATAACTTGCAGTTTGATGTGGATTTTACTTCCATTTGATGGGATGTAAGTGAAGAATGGATTACTGAAAGTTATTTTAAAATTTTCAGAATTTAAATTCTCAACGTTCAAAAGTGCTATCACCTTTTCGATTCAGGCCTGCTATCGTACTTTTTTTCACAGCTTGTGAAAATAGAGTTCCAACCCTCCAACTATATGTATTTTAGGATTTAAACTATATTTTATATACTTTAGGGTTTCTAGTATGAAATGAAATTACAAACGTAATAACTTGCAGTTTGATGTGGATTTTACTTCCATTTGATGGGATGTAAGTGAAGAATGGGTCACTGAAAGTTATTTTAAAATTTTCAGAATTTAAATTAATCTTTTAATTCTCTACGATACACTTTCTCATAGCTTGTGAAAATAGAATCTCAACCTTCAAAACTATGTTAAATATATATTTTAAACTCTCCGATGTAAGATGAAATTGCAAATGTTGTAATAGCTTGCAATTTCTTACGGATTTTGATGTGACTGATGACAGAGATGGTTAATGAAGATAGTACAGCCATTGTGTAGAATATGAGTGCTGAAGAATTATGTGCATAGACATTAAGGGTGAATATACGATGAGCTGAAAATTATTTTCTCTGGTTTAATTTAAATTCTCATCTATCATTTACTCGACTGCACGACACATTCTCCCCAGATTGTGAAAACAGCCTTCGAACTACACTAAGCGTATGTTTCAGTATCTCTGGTATGAGATGAAACTGCAAATTATAACCCTTCGTTAATAAAACGTCGACATTTCGAGAATTCGCATTTGCGGTGAAAGTAATGGACACTTAATGTCTTGCTACAAAAAAAAACTCGCGAAATACCTCGAAACCAGGAAACCTGAGGATCTATTTCATTAGCGCTTCAATTATTTTAACGTGGACTGAAATAATGTAATTAAAACGACTTCGGAATGGAGTTCTTGCTCTACACCGTGAAGCATAATTCACTAATGAAAAAGACCGATGGTGGTTTTTTTTTTTTTTTTTTTTTTTTGCTAGCGAGCATCCAGCGCAGCGATGCCAACAGCCACCAGGTTGAATTATTGCGAATTCAACGCACGGACGCGGCACAATTGCGCCGCAGGGATTAAAACTTGAAATGCACTTATGCAGCCATTGTGTTAAATATGGATCTTTGAAGCGGCTTGTTGAATACCTGTTGTGCAATCCTCGCCGATGTGGAAATCGTTGCGTTTCTGTCACTCGAAGTGCAAACGTCCCAGTTTCAATTAGCTCTCGCAGTAATCCACTGCTCGAGAGACAATTTCACAATGATCGTTAACTCGAAGAAATTCGAAACATCGAATCGTACAACAAAAGTAAGTGAGAAAAAAAATGATTTCTATGAATCATGAAGAATCCTTTTGGAGGAGAAATTCAGCGACCGTGGTGAAAGAAGGGCAGAGAGCAGGACAATGATAAAAATTGTGAACGAAAAAAAAAAAAAAAAAAAAAAGAAAATTGTACGAAGAAGAAACAATAGATCATTTGCTAGAATTATGTTTGTCGAAAGGGCTGGAAACGAAGCGGCCAGAGGCTGATCCGCGTGATGTTCAGGGCGGACGAGGACAAAGCGTGCAAAGAGGAGGAAGAAACAAGCGAGAGGGAGAGGACAGATCTCCTGGAATCCCCTAATTTGCTATTTCGGCATTCCGACCGATTCGTGTGCTCAGCTGGTTCGTGGGACCTCGGTTCGTGAGAGGCTGTTGCTGATCTATCAAAAAACGCGGTTCCGTCGGCTCTTCTTCTGTCGCCGAACCGCGATGCCGCGGTGGGATCAGCCTCGTTGGTCGTTGATGGGAACCGACCGGTTCGAATCTATCATGGAAACCATTCAAATGGATGGAATTTCTCGTTGACGTGGTGTCCGATCGCCACGGTGACTCAGATTCGTAACTCTGCTGGAAAATATCGACATAATTGGTGTAGGATGAAATCGTAGGAAGATATTGCGACATAATTGGTATAGGAATGAGGTATCCTTGGTAATATTTTGTGGTATAGACGTGTGACAGCTGAAATTATCTTCTAAAATTACAGCTAGGTTTAAATCTTTAATAAATAATTCGAATAACAAATGTTTCACCTGTGTGTGTAACAAGAGCAGGAAACTTTAGGATAAAAACGAAAGGGAGGAGAAATCAAGGAACCATATGTTACAGGGGGAAATTACTCTCCTTTATTTCGTTTGATCCGAGTAACGACAACATGACTATGGAGCTATACAATACAGTAACTTAGGTGTTCAACAAACGAGATACAAGTCAGCTGTAAATATTCTCTAACCATGATCGTGAACGTTACTCTTAATCATTGCCGTTGAAATCGTTTGCTCTTCAAACTTAGCCCTTGCCCCGCGATACAATTGTCACTGTAATTGAAGTTCTCCTTCATTCAGTCATTATTTCTAACTAATTCCCCTGAATTCTCGGAATTCGACGATGTTTTTTCGCTCCCTCTCGCAACTTCATCTGTCGTTGTACGTTCTGCAATATCCGTCGCCTGCGTTTTTTCAGAATCTTTCTGAATCGTTTCCTCTTGTTTCTGTTCTTCTTTGTTCTTATTTCTCGCGACTTTCTGTCGCGGCTCCTCCTGCCCGTCGTCCAGATACTGATCCCATTTAGCAATTCTGGCTTCCGTTTCCGCGTCGGTTTCTGCAACCCTGGAAACAAAAAGAAGAAATTCCTCTGCTGTGCGTTGATTGGATTAATTTAGGAGGGAAATTGAAAACTGATAAAAATGACAAAAGATTTTCCTAGACGTAAAATGAACGATAGATGATTAGAATGATTGGAAAATATAGAGAACGAAGTACGGTCCTCGGATGATAAGTAGCTATGAAAGTAAAAAGCAGTTATGAGTTGGAATTTTAATAATTAGAAACGAGAGAGATGTAATAATAGAAAATGAAAATTAATCGGCAATGTGTCGAGTGAAATGGGCTGTTATTAAATACTGGAATTCAATTTCATTGTGGTTGACAGAATGAATAAATAAAAAATAAATAAATAAATAAAATAATTAAATACATATTTATAGTAAATAATTGTAATATAATTGTAATATTGAGAAAATTGTGCAAAATTTTATAGGAGCACTGATTGAAAGTCGGCAATGTGGAATCCTACATATGATAACAGGATGTAAAAATGTCTAATAAATATTTCTAATGTCATATATGTCGTGATAAAAATGTACAAATTCGTAATTGCTATAAAACTGATTGCTCAAATAAAAATATAAATATTATTATTACATAATTTTTTCCATTTTCAACATTATCGATCGCAACACAGTAAGGTAACAACATTAGCAACAGTTAATATCAAAAACAGCATCAATCACCAAATACATGCAAAATATCTTTCAATTGTGAATAAAACAATATTTATCTTCATATTCTATTTATCTTCAAAGAAATTGAGTGAGCAAAGAAATCATTTAGATAATAATTTAATAACAGCAATAATTATCACGCTGTTTTCAATTTTGATGTCCTGGCTGTATAAGTGAAATTTCACTTTAAAAATTATTATTTGCATTAAAATTACGTTCTTCCTTTTCAATTTTACATATTTATAAAATATAACGCGTGTACCATACATTTTCTGAAATATTGTTTCAAAATTTATAAATCAAGAGTCAAAAAAAGTAAAAATAAAAAATTGAAAGTTTGCATGTGAAAATAAATTCGGATATTTTTCCAAAAATTTGTGTCGGTAAATCAGACTCCGGGAGCGAAGAAGAAGGAAGTAAACGGAAAGTGAGCCTCGATGGTTAACTATCGACCAAGCCAGGCTCAGCTCTGGTTGGGTCGGTAAAATAGCAAGGAGAAAGAGCAACGGGTAAACTTACTTGTATCTCGTCTTGCCGTCCCAGATTTCTGCCGATATTTTCCTCTGACTGAACCAACGACCGTTCAATAACTGAACGCACGCCTGTGCTTCCGTTGGCTCCCGAAATGTCACCTGTGCAACACCTTCCGGATGTCTCTGTAAAATGCAACACAAGTTACCTTCGAACTTTCCTCGCATGGAAACACATGAGTCAATAAAAACAAGTTCCTTTCTCAACTGCGCTGTAACGAGCATCGCTTTTTCGAAAATTTTACTTTTCATAAAAATTTACTTTTCACGCTGACAGACAGATATTTGTAGTCGTTCGTTTCTTTCGCTCGCTCTACTCTCGAGACCTGAGTCAAACCGATGAAATGCAGACGTTAATTAAACAATGGCTCGGCTAATTGCACAAAGATGGATAACCATCGTCTTTCCACTCGCGTTTACAACCACTTTTGCACCAAGATGGATCCGAGTGTTCCCGAGTTTTACGACTTAAGGCTCGCCTCACGTCGCGATACTTTCCTCGTGTCTCCGACTTAAACCGCAATTTATGAGCATTCGGTTTGAACATCAATTTTACTGTCTGACCTCATGCGCGACATGAAGTTCTTTGTTCCTTCTCTGCGTTGTACCTCGTTAGATCAATCGGCACGCTCTTCGTTTCATCCGTCGTCCTTCGTTGCACGTACAGGACAAAGTCTATTTATATCTACAACCGTAAAATTAATCCCCGTTTTTATGAATATCACATAAGAAACATTCAAGATTGTCGCCACTTTCGACGATATCTAAAAAGAACTCTGTACATCCGCTCGACACTTGGCAAAACGTGAATCTACTGCGCTCCAAAAAACTTTCCCCATAAAACCGCGATCAATCATACCTTTCGCACATCGAAGTCAAAAAAAGGAAGAGGGAAGCACGGAGCAAAGACGACCGGCCCGGGAAAAAAGAGGCGACCGGATATTACGCTGGAATGATATTCCCCGAATCTGGCGAGCGAAGTCGGTGAACGCCGACTAAAATGCATCGTCTGTTCATAAATTTGGCTCGTGAGCATCGGCACCGTTCCTCTTCCTTCGTTTTCCTCGACATCTTCCTTCTCTTCCCCCCTTTTTTTACCAGGTTACACGCGCGC